ATTTTTATGAGAAGATATTTGTAATAATTTACCATATATATATATATATTGTAAATTATTGTAAATATCTTCTCATTACATCCTTTTATCCTTCTTCCTTATTAATACCGAACCCATTCTTGCCATTCTTACTCCTGTGCCCACCAAAATACTAATACAAGTTTCTTCTTCCATTTCCCAAGTACTTAACCTTTTGCAGCTACCATCCTCCTTAATCATTTAATCAGTTTAACCAGTGTTATACTACTTACACTTCTTTTCTACCCCACTGCACTGCCCACATTGATCCACACTCACCATCCAACATCAACAAACTACAACAGCAAGTTAGAAAGAAATCAAATAGAATACTTCAAGACTCATCAAGAAGCATCGTTGGCTATCTTCACCAAACAAAACTACACACCTGTTGGAGATTGTGTGGAGAATCTTTTCTTCATCATCGGTTACTACACTATTTCACCTTCTCTCGGTAAGGTTTTCCAGCATTCCCTCTTCGTTTTCTTCCCCTAGGCATTTAGTAATTATATTTTGGCTTTTCTCTCAGCTGGGCTGGTGGAGTTTTTCTGGGTTTCCTCCACCTTTTTTTTCCCCTAATGGGGACCAGCTGCCCCTTTAATTTTACAGTCCTCCCGGAAGGCTGTAGCTAATACCAGCAGTGGTATTAGGCCCCTTCCAAATTCTTTTTTCCAATTTTCGCTGGAAATCTTTATCGCTGGATTCTTCACTGCGGACTTTCTATGTCAACCACTTTGAAACATCCAAAAAGACGTTAGGTTAGGTGGGGCTGGGTCACATACTGCAACTATCTTGTTTATCTTTCTCTTCTTCTTGTTTATATAAATTAGGTAAGTTAGCTAAGCAGCACATAAAACGTAACATACAGAATAAAATTTAAACATAGCAAATAAAATGTAAATTTTATGAGCCCTCACAAGGGACTAGAAACTATGAGCCCTACTTGAGACATCTATGAGCCCATTTAGGGACACTAACCCCAGTACACCCTTCAAAATATAACATTTTGGTCTCTTTGTGCTCACCGAGCAGTAAGGGGCCTAAAACCACAAAAACAAAAAAAAAAAATAGTAATCAGTAGATAGATTATTACACGATTCAATATTATTTATTGTAGAAAATAAAATTGATGCATCTAAATTCTATAAAGAGAGAATCCTTAAGTCCTTCAATACTTAACTCTGCTGAAAAGTCTACATGCACCATCCAGTTTTTCAGTTCTTTCTATTATTTATATTTAAAACATTTAAAAATTGAATTATATTTGTAGATAATTCAAGCTGTTTTATTATAAATTTTGTCAAATAGATGAAAGAATATCTTTTTTCACTCATTGGGATTCAAATTTGATAATCAGTTTATACATGTAATGTTATTTATTTACAAATTTTCTTTTCACTACTAACTTTCTATCTTTAGAATTAAAAATTAATTTGAACCTTTATAAATAATGGAAAATAAATTTCAGTTTAATAAAGCACCAGATCAATCATCCATCAAGCTTGGGACCAGAAGGGGTCTGGATTTATGGATTTTCCAGTTTTCTGCATTCAGGCAAAATATACACTTAAAATATAAAATAAACAACTTAATATACTTCTAAAGCAGGGTGGATTTGATCATTATTAATCCTCTTCAAATTAGAATACCATGTGTAATGTAATATTTAGGATGAAAATGAAACAAACAAAGCAGCCACATGGTGAACTATAGCCATGCTATAGCCTGCCAAAATCAAAACTGGCAAGTTTCAAAAATAGCTAGTTTTCTGGTAATTCCAGATTTCTGAAAGCTGATTAATTGGTCCATTACTATATATGCTTTTGCAATGTAATGCCAAAAGGAAATACAGTAATACCTTGATTTATGCTACACCAACTTACACGATCCCGGAGTTACATGATTTTCAAATCTTGCCGATTCATCTTTTGTTTGAGCGCCACGCAACTCTTGATTACTCACTCCCCCCACACTATTGTTCAGCTTACATGTTCGGATGTGTCTCGCGGAATTGACACATAGCTACAATTTATTTTGTGTTATTTATTTCTGTGTTTGTTATATCTATGGAGACTTTAGAGACTCTACGTGGTGATTTCTTGTAACCGTGAACGAATCAAAAGACAAGATAAGATTAATGAGAACATTTATTAGCTTACATACATCCGACTTGGATTTTACACAAATTTCGAAATTATACCCCGACTTACGCGAATTTGACTTATGCGGTCATCGCTCGGTCCCACCTATCGCGTAAGTTCAGGGTATTACTGTATTCACAATAACAATTCACTGTCATATGATCAGATAAAATTTAAAATAATTGTAGATTATTTTTACTTCTAAATGAGATACATATAAAAAAAGCATGCATAGATTCAGATACATTGCAGAGAAAAATAGAATTTTTGAATAATAGTTAAGAAATATTTAAAAAGAGTAATTATATTAATTTTTTTTTATGTATGGAGAAACTTTAATTTAAAATTATATAATTTAGTTTAATTGCATAATGTTACAACAAAATAACTTGATAAATATCTTATATTATTTGTAATTATTTATTTCTGTTTTACAGACAAAATACTTCATTGAGAGCTGAAAATTCTTATTTGAAACAACTGTTATCCTCAAAACATAAGTATTTACTCAACTAAAATTCTTAAGGAAATAATATAATACTATAATAAGATTTAATCTAGCTGTAAATTTTGCATTTTGACATAATATAAAGCATATTATATGTGTTATTGGAATAAGTGGAAAAAACTCGCACTGTACTTATATAAATGGATAATAAAAGTAGAAAATTCTTGCATATATCACTATACTATATAATCCACTGCAATTAAAAGTATTTTACCAATAATTCTGGAAAACTATTATAATTATAGATAAAATGAAAGAGTTTCGTACTTGAGTGTGGATAATATTATTTTTTAGTATTTGATTAGTATTTAATGATTTGATTTGTGTAATTAAAGGAATCAAGTTCAACTAACTGTTTTGTTTTCTATCAGTCGTGCAGAAGAAACAAAGGCAGTAGATTATGTATAGCAACAACATGTGAAACAATATTGTAATCAAGAAGTGACTTTTATGAATATAAAAATAAGATGATAATAATATCCAAACTGTATTAACAGATCTTCACATATACTTGTAAGAGAGTTTCAACAAATCACTGTCATGTAGTAAGGGAATGTTCACAAACCACATAGCCCAGCTGAAAGGAGTTAAAGGATAAGTCAGTGGCTACCATGGACTAAAATGAAGGAGGGGGTTTAGGTCTGGTCGTGTAGCATAGCCTCTTCATAATAAAATTATAATGAGTTGCAATATAGCCTATTATCTGTTGAAATTATGTTATAATCATCCAACTCTGATTTAAAAACCACAGAAGTTATTAGGCTTCAAACAGAGTAAACAAAATCATCACCCCGGCACATAGTCTAACATACATACATACAGGAAAAAAAAAGCAAATCTTTTGCATATCTTGACATTTCAAGGTATCCTGAGTCCAAAAACTAAATATCTGGGAGGGGTCATTTTTTGAGTGATTGCTACACTTTCCCTCTGTTATATATAACAGTTGGAAAAGTAAAAATTATCAAATACATATTTATATATTGACTGTGTCATTACTTAGAGGAGTTTTTTAGCTTTGGAATAAAGTTTTTATGTTCTATCTTTATTAGAACTCTATTTATTGAATATTTTATTCTGAGGTCACATGATAACATCAGAATTTCTGAGTCTATTTTGGTAACAAGTCCGCCCTGGTCAGGGTCAGAGTTGGAGTCAGATGGTAAAGCAAAGTTGGAGTCGGAGTCAGTAGATTTTTACACAACTCCACAGCCCTGAAAAAAAAATGTATTTTTTCTGGTCAAAGAAAAGCAAAGATAAAAATCACATACACAAACTTTTATGAAATTTTAAAATTTATAGAAAAACCATCATTCAATTTCAATAAATGTTCAATTTAATAGAACTAATGTTTACAACCATATTTTAATGGTCATCACAGATAAGATTTTAGAATAAATCACATTTTAGTTCTATTAAAATGAACATTGCTTGAATTTCAATGTACTGTAGTTTTTCTATTAATTTTGTTTCCAGTTTTGGATTATTAGCATTATTTTAAAATCCATTCTGCTTTGACATTATTTAATTTTTTTCTTGCTTAAATAATATTTATATATGAATGATATTAATTACAATGTACAAAGGAAACCTCTATTTCTAAAAATTTCTCTATTTAAATAAATTTTGATAATTTCTAGAAAATTGCCATTATGTAGTTATGAGATAATATTTTTAATATTTTTTGAAACAATTATATATTTATGGATATTTTTAATTTATTATATGAATTACAGATTTAAAATTTTCATCTTGTTAGATTTAGTACCAATGCTAATTTCTTGATATTTTAACATTTATTTAACAGATCGAATAATATGATGGATGCACATTCAAGTAATAACAGTTTTACAGGTTTGTTTATCATTAATTTATTTAACAAAACTTTATAAAAAGAATGTAGTTATATTTAAATAAACTATTTATATTAAAATTGAAATGTATTAAATTATTCAAAAACTAAAATTATTCATATGCTTTCCATCTTAGATAATATGAAATCTGACTCAAATACACAAAAGAATTATTCAAAGTAAGAGTTTTATTAAATTTATTCTTATTTTCTTTTAATGATATGAAACCATGCTTTAAACTTTGTTGCTGCTTCATACACAATAAAGTGCTATAAATTAAGACACTTGGCAGATTTTCTTATCTTTATTTAGTTGATATTTGTGAAAGTTACACATTTCAGGCTCCTAAGCCCCTCTTCAGCCAACTATGCATAAAAGTCTTACAAATTAAAGTGACATCAGCTTATTCTTATGTATTAAATTTATTCAGTTTGAATAGTTACTTTTTGCAAATTTTATACAAAATGTTTTTCCTTTTATTTAAAACAAGCTGCTGTTACTATGAAATTGATTAACAATTATGCATGTTGCTGTGGCCGGTGGCCATATCGGAATACGTTTATTTTATTATTATTGGTATATACATATTCTTAGTTTTAATATTCTTTCCCTATTTCTTCGATTTCTTTGTGTGTTCGTTCTAGAACATTCCATGACCGTTATAGCCTTTAGGGGGGATTAGCGATTCTGTGAATCGCAAAGAACAATAGTGCAGGAAATTACACCCCTCTGAGAGAAGAACAAAGAAGGGTGTGTAGAGGGGACTGAGGAGGTAAGAAGGGAGAGAATCGAGGGAGACACAGAGAGAATAAGACGTGTCGAGGTGAACTCCGGACTTGACTGAGAGCCGAAGAAAGAGAGACTTCTCGGGAGGGTCAAGCGACGGACTGGAGAGAATCAGAGTCCCCACGGCTGAAGGCCCAACGATAGAAAAACTGAAGACATTTTGCTTCACCAAGGAAGTAGATCCGAGGACACAGTAAGAGTTGGAAAGAGAGCGAAAAATAAAAACGATCCGACCTAGAGCGAAAAATCATATCGGAAAAAACGAGGAAAGTCCCGGGTGAAGTTGCTTCTTCCTTCTATTTTCCTTCTTGCTTCCGTAGTATTAAGCTAGGTTTAAGTTAGGTTAAGTTAGATTTTATCACGTGTATAGAAAATACTTATTGTCACGCGCCAAGTTAACGTCACCCCGCGATTTCTTGTACCCATCACGTTGTAATGATTGTATCTGAATCAATTGGGATCCATAAATAAAAGAACCTGTTTGTGATTTGTAAGAAAAGTGTTGATAATTATAATTGTCCTTACAACACAAAGACCACATTGCACTACTCCATACATATTTTCATGCAAATATGAGCATGTTCTTATATATGAAAATCACTTGCTTTGTGTTTTTAGAACACATATTTTGCTTCACTTACAAGAGCAGACCTTGCATATAAGAGCATGCTCTTATGCATGCCAGTTTGCCTTGGCTTAAGAGCACTGCACTGTTGGATTAATGTAAATTAAATATAAACGTACTTATACAGTAACTATTCATTGACATCTCTGAAGTAACCATAAAAATGAAAAGGCAAAAAGTGTTTCCAATACTATAAAAATTTTTTAAAAGTAGTGAGTTTTTTAGATACTTTGTGGAAATACAGTAAGAAATATAAAGAATAGTGGAATGCCAGAATCACTGAAGGCATCCAAATTTTTTTTCAGATTAAACATCTTTTGGGACTACACATTATTACAAGAAACAAGGTAAAAATGCATATAATTTACTGAAAATTTGCAATTATTTTGGTAAATAATCAGTTTATTCCTTTTATTTATATATTGGCACAATATCTCTTTATCAGATCTGATGATGGAATGTCCCAAAGACATTTAATCTGCAAGAAAATTTGATATTTATTAACTTATATTAATTAAAACCTATCTTTTGAATTCAAAATATTTTATATATGTGGAAATAAAATCAGAAATATCTGGTTGAGGGATAGTGATATAGTGACATTGAAGATGTCAAAGATATCTCTTTACTCTGAAAATATTATAGATTTTAATGATTGATCTGTTACTCTTGTTAATATTATTTCTCTATCATCCATGGATTTATTGTAATATACAGATGAGAGACAAAAATTATGACAAGATTACAATTTTCTGGCTCTGCTATGTAACATGCCATTTAAACTGCATATTTTAAAAGCAACCCCATTGTCTAAAAATGTGAAAGTTAAGTTAGCATCCCAGCATCATTCATGAGTGAAAGTAAAATTAACTATCAGTACATTTCAAAATCCCTTGATAAGTGAACAATAAAATGTTAAATTGGAGACTGAATGCATCATTCTGAAGCAGGAAAAACTACATGATTTTGCGATTTTGCTGCCCAGTATAGTCTGTTTATTGATTTTAACAACACAAAATGTGTTGCCCGACAAAGAGGTTGGCCAACATCAGTTTTCTGAAAGGTTGAAAACATGACTAGTTGTCACCAACAACTAATCAGGAAATATTTTGGACAATACTAGCACCTATTCATTAGTAGCAAGTAGCAGCATTCATCATCTTATTCCTTTCATCTTTTTCTTCATCTTTAACTGTCAATAAAAAAGCAACAGCAGCACTGGAGGATAATGTGGAGGATTTAGTGTCCACTTTCTCCACAAATATTGTTGAGAAACAAACCTGCCTCTAACTACAGTCAGCCAGTAAAATTGTGTGGTGTTTGCCTCACTGTAAAAGTGTTGGTATTTTAAAGGGTATCCTAAAATTAATGCAGGATTTAAATTTTATGTCATTTTTCTCCCATTTGGTTGACTGTGCCATATGAAGTGATATCTTATAGTAAACACATTGCAGTTAGTTAATATGGAGCGATACATGATGGAGAAGCACATAATGATTATCAAAACTTATTACTAGTATGGGGAAGTTTTGTTGCAACTGTGCACAAATTATGTGGCATTTTCAGTTGGAGAAACATACCAAATGAAATGACTGTGCAAAGAACAATTGATGCATGACCAACAAGTTACAGTATGGTGTAGCTTTTGGACCACTGGAGTGATTGGATCATATTTCTTTGAAAATAAGATGGAAAATGTAGCTACTGTTAATGATGTACACTATCATGAGATGATATCAGAGATTTTGTGACCTCATTTGGACAGTATGGATTTGAGTGATGTGTGGTTCCAGCAAGATGGTGCCACCTGTCATATGGCATATGAAACAACTGTGTTATTGCAACAGAAGTTTCATGGGTGACTCATCTCATACAACAATGATCAGAATTAGCCACCAAGATCATGCAATCTGACAACGTGCAAATTTTTTCTCTGGGATTTGTAAAGTCCACTAAAACAAGAACAATATCTGAATTAAAAGCAGAAATTCGAAAAGTTACCAATGAAATTGCACTGCAATTATGCAAAAATGTAATTGAAAATTTTGTCAAAAGAATATGAGAATGTCAGAAGAGTTGTGGGAGAATTTGTCAGATATTCTATTCCATATTTAATTGTAATGTTTATACTTAAAAATAATGTAAGAACTTTGCTGATTAATGAATAAATAATGCATTCTTTTTAAAATTTAAATCTGCATTACTTTTGGGACATCCTGTACGTATAAATAAATAAATTTGCAGTCATTTATTAATTTTATCCAGTACACTTTTATTTAAAAAATATCTCTAAATTTAAAATTTTTTTCCTGGTTGCTAGTGTCCCATACCTCCATATCCATGGGAGCAGCCACCTTCATCCTCATTGGGTGAATTCCCCTCTTTCATATTTCTATTCTATATATCTTTATTTTTGTACAAAATGATGCTATGCTACTATATAGATAAAATAACATATTTACTTCATCAAATAATTTTTTAAAAATTTCTAAAAACAATTTTTGTGATTACTAATATCCTTAATATGTTATCCAATGACAAAAGTTTGTTTTTAGAAACTTTAAGAAGTTTTTCAGTGAAAACATGAATAGCAACATTTATATTAGTCTCAATAGGTAAATTATTGGGTTGTTCGGAAAGTAAGTTCATTTTTTTCAGTGGAAAAAAAAAACATTTTTATAATAAATAAATTTTTTATTGAATTATATATCAACCATTTTGGTCAAATACCTGTTGTCATTTCTGGTAGTAGCATGATTTCACATTCATAAAAGTTTTTATCGTTGCTTACAAAAAACTGATCCAAGTGATTTTTGACATTGTTGTTTCAAGTAAATGTCTTACAGTTAAAAAAAATTTGTATAGACCGGAACAAGTAATAATCTGAGTGTGCTCGATCTGGCGAATATGGTTGGTGTGATAGCACGTCCCATCTAAGTTATAACAGTTTCTGACGAGTTACCAAACTTGTGTGAAATTTGACATTATCGTGGTAAAACACTACACCTGTTTTGTTGATCAATTCTGGCTGCCTTTTATGTTTGATGATATTACTCAATTTGTTTACTCGATGGCAGTACACTTTTGAATCAATTGTTAAATTGTCTGGTAAAAGCTCCAAAAAAAAAGTCCTTAAAATACCACCAAAGGGAGCATTATGAAGCACTTTAAGAACATGTGGAACCCATATATCAAGTTTTGAAACAAAACCAATTTGTTTCAGGTAATCATAAACAGTTCAATTTGACAAATTTAATCTCTTAGTGATTTCACGTGTTGTTATTTGGCAGTTTGCTTCAATCAGAGCCTTTATTTTGTTTTCATTGGCTTCAACTGGCCATCTAGAACGTGGTGCATCTTCAGTATTGAAATTGCCAGAACAAAATTTTGTAAACCAGTTTTGGCACTGTCGTTCTGTCAACACCATCTCCATACATGTACCACAATTTTTTCTTGCTTGAACAGCATTTTGATTTTTTGGTAATGAAAAAGCAAAATATGCCGAAAATGATGCTTTCGATCTTCCATGTTTGATGGGACACAAAAAATAAACAATTGCACAAAATCAAACAAAACTGTTTACAGATAAGCCTTAAAATGCTAGCTGTCAAAATATATATAGATAATATGGTTTAGAATGTAAATGGCAGAAAAAATACGACTAATCTGTCTAGTGGTAAAAAAAACGAACTTACTTTCCAAACAACCTAATACAATAGCACAAGAACAAGTGAAAAATTAATTTCAAAATATACAAGAAAATGCAATATGTAGAATTGAGAGTTTTAAAATTTATCTGTATTAAATATAAACAGAATATATAAATACAGGTAACCCCCGTATAACATGGCACTTCTATAGCACGGATTTATTCTAACACGGTTTGAGAATTGGGAACATCCCCGTATAACACAGTGCTTTTATAGCATGGGCTCACTCTAACATGGTTCAGGAATTGGGTAAAACCCTCGTACAACATGAAATGTAATAAAGGGTGTGTTCTTTTATACCTCCATGTAACTTCGCATGAGCATTCTAATTGTTTCCATGGCTACTTTAAATGCTGTTTCAACAAATAATCCATTTAATGGTTAAATTTTATAATTGGGATCCTTCTTTTGCCTCTAAAAGCTCATTTTAGAATTATAGATTCCTCCATCACGATACTATCGATAGTGCGGGCGCCGCCATATTTCTTTCACCGTCATTCCTAAATGCCTACAAACAGCAGCACACTCCCATTGCAGAGCGACCGCTATTAACGAACGCACCCAAAAACTGTTACCAGTTGATGATGCTCATGCTGAGATCATCATATAGCATGAATAATCCTCTGGTAAAATATTTACTTAAATAATAAGTATTTTACCTATGAAAAAAATGAATAATAAATCTGATTTAAATAAGGATTTAAAAGCATGTTTTTTAATTTTTGGAACCTAACCCCCCTTTTTGCACTAGTTCTTTGTTTTGTATAACACGGATTCGCATAACATGGCAATTTTCTGGAATGTAACTCCCGTGTTATATGGGGATTACCTGTATATTTTAATTTTTAAAACTCTGACATTATCTGAGTGACATTTTTTTTAATTCCTAATTCTTGATTTCATTGGATTACTTT